CCAATTCATGAAGGTGAATGTACCACAGGCAACCACAGTGCCCCCTGGTTTTTCTTGTAAGATCAGGATTTTGCTTTCTTTTCTGGTGTCCTTATAGAAGGCCAATGGCTAATGCAAAGGAGTGGCAGAATATAGAAGAGAGATCCACTTCGAGATTGTAGGAGATTTGGATCACCCAGTTGTACAAGGCATCCCCCACATGTCACTTAGCTTCAGAATTTCTTTTCGTAGTTAGAATCATCGTGTAACTGAAGTTTTTAGCACTGTAATAGATCTGCTTTGCAACTAATATTCATGGATTTTTGTAACACAGATGCTAGCTCGATTTGCCACGGGGGCATCATTCAGTGCTGAAAGCAGAGGTGGGGGAAGAGAAAGCAACTCACGGTTTTTGCCTTTCATGATTCAGATGGCATGTCACCTTCTTGATCAAGGAAGCCCCTCTCAACGCTGCAGCATGGCGAAAGCTGTATCATCATATATAACCTCTAGCCCAGATTCCCGACCAACTGGTGGAGGGGAGCCTTCTCTGGGTACTGAGGAAACTGTCCAATTCATGATGGTAAACTCACTTCTTTCAGAGTCTTATGAGTCCTGGTTGCAGCATCGTCCCGCCTTCTTGCAAAGAGGAGTATACCATGCTTACATGCAGCACACACATAATCGTTCTGGAAGTACAAGCAAAAGCCCTGCAACAGAATCAGGAGGTAGTGATGAGCTGCTTTCTATTGTTCGACCAATGCTTGTCTATACAGGGTTGATTGAGCAGCTGCAGCAGTTTTTCAAGGTCAAGAAGAAGGCAAATGTTGGATCCGCCAAAATAGAAGGGAATACTACAGGTATAGAAGCGGAGGATGATGGTGGGAGTTTGGAAGGTTGGGAGGTTGCAATGAAAGAGCAACTGCTGAACGTGAGGGAAATGGTGGGATTCTCCAAGGAGTTATTATCATGGCTTGATGACATGAATTCTGCAAGTGACTTGCAGGAGGCATTTGATGTTATTGGTGTTTTTGCTGATGTATTGTCTGGTGGGTTTACAAGGTGTGAAGATTTTGTCCAAGCCGCAATTGATGCAGGGAAAAGCTGCTGATACTATGCTATAGTAGGAGCGTTTGTGTGTTGTAAAATCTATCACACTCGTTAATGGCGTTTGCGGTGAAGCTGTTATAATCTTTTTTTCTGTTATCGGATGAGCATGTAAAGTTGACATCATTTTACTTTACCCCACGAGTCACGGGGTTTAGTATCATTTTTGCTCCTTAATAATAAAGCAATTTCCTGCAAGACTGTTGATTCCCTTTTATTCAGATAAATTGCTAATCTTTATCTATTTTAACTAACTTAAATAAGGTTATTAAATAGACGATATTATTGATTATTTGCTAACATAAATTTGGTTTGTTTAAGGCTGCTGATAAGTTGCTGCAATTTATTTCTTTAATTTTTATTAAAATAAATTATCTATATTTAAGAAACTACTCCGCGCACCCCTTCTCGAGAATGAAATTTTTTAAAAAAATTATTTTAATTATTACAATTAAAATTTTACTGCTAAAAAGAGTAAATTTAAACATATTAAGATATTTCTTATATAAATGTTTGTAAAACAAAATTTGTAAACAAGCATGTCGTTGTATTTATTTTTTCCAAACTGCTAATATCATCAGGAATGCAAAACTATCCTTTGGGGGGGGGGGGGGGGAGGGAGGGGGAAACAACTAGAAGAAACAACCAAAGAGAGCCACTAAAAAATTAAAAGTATAAATATATGTGTTACAGAAACTATGAAATATGGCGTTATAAATCAAATTTCATCCTTTTGCACTGTAATTCCAGGAGGGATGCCCCCAAGTTAAATATAAAATCAAAACTGGCAAAATTAGGAAGGGGAGGAGGTTCGGTTATGCACTCAGTTCATTGCATCATAATCATCCAACTTGTCGTTGTACTCCAGCACCTTCCTCTTTATCTTTGATGAGTCTACCCATGTAATAAAGTCTTCCATGTTCCTCGTTACAAGGAATGCCGAATCAGTAACAGTGTCTGGACCCACACGAATATGTCCCTGCTCGATGTATGTCACAGCTTCTTTTAAATGCTCTGCAAACTTCAAGTGCACCAGAACAGTTGATAGCCTTCGTCTACAAAAAAAGAGTTGCAGTACAGAATTAGAAACCAGAAATATGCAGTAAAAAGATAACCACCGGTCCAAGACAACATTTGAAAAGGTTAATTCATATAAAGAAATTCTTAGGGAACTGAAAGCATTTTAACTTCTTAATCATTTAGTCGAGTGTTGCTGCCAAGTTAGAGAGGCAATGTTATCTGCTGCATAAGCATATCATATGGCAGTAAGACAGATAATATTGCAGATGCAATTACTTCAGAATTCAAGAAGTATACTAAATTAAATCAGATACAAAAGGAACTCCAAGACTAGAATTGCAAAACCAAGAGGTAGGCAATGAATTTCGCCATATCCTGTTTGATTTATACACACAGAAATAGCTTCTATATTTCTTAAACAGCATTCTATTCAGAATTTGTTACAAACAACCAAAAAATCTTTTTGAAGATTAATACTCATTAGCACATTTCTTTATTTATCCACTTTATCTTGTTTTACACTGCTATGAGAAGGGCATACTCTTGCCAGTTGCAGCTTCTTTATTAGAACTATTTATCCTTTTCTTACCTACAAAAGGATGAGACTGATAGCCTGTCGCACAAAGCCAAGCTTTTCCTCGTTGGTATCACACCCATGTTATATCTGCCATCATCAGAGGAACAAATAAATCTAGTCATCCTTCCACTATAACATATATGACAAGAAGGTAATATCAAAATATTTATTTGAATAAAGAGGTCTAATACTGTTAGAAAGATTAGCAAACCTATCTATATATAGAGAGAACAATCTTTTGTTCAAACTCATTAATGCAACAGCATCTCTTGCATTACATAGCACTATAGCAAAACAGCCATGTAGATGGCAAACGTTACACAGAATGAAGCTAGAAGATAGCACTTTAACAAAGACACAACGATTGAAGTCCATTTTGTGGGATAATTCAAGGGACTCACTTGTATGCAAATATATTTGCACTGTCTATGCATGTCACTTCACCAAGAAACTGGGCTTTCTTGTTCTCAGTTATCATGAAACACGCTCAACGTGAACATAGTTTTGCCTTAGTGCTGATAAGTCTTAAAAGCATTTTTAAAGTGCCTGAAACTAACATGGTTTACACCTTCAAGTTGAGTCCTATACCCATATTCTCTCAGATGAAGGTATCTAAATAATGAGCCCAAGTTGTTTTCCCCCCTCTTAAACAATCTTTCTTACAATATCTACCTTATAATTTAGACTTCTAAGGTATTTAAGGAGTTGACACTCACAATCCTTATCTTGTATAACAAAAACTTCCTAAAAACAGTGTTTTCTTATTTTCATTCATTACAGTGCGTTAATAGATTCAGAGAATAGCAATCAAGTGATGCAGACTAAAGACTCCTAAATTTGGGTGGAATTCTCTTG